TGGAGTCCAGTGCAGGTGTGCTAGCAGGTGCAAACAGCTCTGGAGTCGAGTGTAGCATATGTGGCAGCTCTGGGGTCAAGAGCAGGTCTGTAGTAGATGCAGGTGGCTCTGGAGTCCAGGCTGTGTCTCCTGACTTGGAGGGGTAGAGTTTATCTGGACCTTTTCTCAGAGCTCCTGTTTTCCTGATGATATTCTCTGGGTCGTCAGTCTGCAATGCCTGCAGAGCCATGAGTGATGTGTGTTGATTGCTACTGACTCTCAACTTGGCAGAGGCGAGGATCACCTAAAGGAGAACCTCTGAGCATTCCTTTAAGGGTTTTCTAGATTAACCAAGGTGGGAAGACTCTCCCCAAACACAGGAGACACTACTCCATCCAGTAGAGAGAAAGTCAACTGAGTACCACAATGCCACCAACTGCCTCAGGTCCTGCCACCATCAAGAGCTGTACTCTAGGACTCTGAGGCAAGGCAAAGCCTCCTTCCCTCCTTTCCCTACACAGTTCCTGTCAGGGTGTTTGATTACAGCAATGGGAAAGCTGTCTGTCCACAGAGCACCTGCTCCCTTTCTCCCTCAGAGCCTGCCTCACCGTCCTGCCTTCCTCACCATCCTGCCTTCCACCTCCCTGATAATCTTCCTTCTCCAGAGACTTGCATATACAGCTTAAAACGTCGGCTGGCCTAGCCTCTCTGCTCTAGCCTTTAGCTGCTTGTCTCATTGACGGACCCCAAAGGGCAATGAACCTGCCACTCCAACAAGTCAGTATAGGTTATTACCTTTAATCAGGCCTCCACAGCTTCCCAAGACAGGATTTCTCACTGATCCCAAGGCTCTGAACAGCTAAGTGGCTGGCTAATGAGCTCCCGGGATCCACCTTGTTTCGTTGGTACTCCACCCCAGCTTTTTACGTGGGTGTTGGGGATTCTAACTCAGGTCCTCATCCTTGTGCAGTGAACACTTTGCCCACTGAGCAATCTCCCCAGGCTGTTTTTGAAGGGGGCAGGACTTGAACCCATGGCCCATGCATGCTAAACTCACGTTCTACCATGGAGATATAAAGCCAGAACAATACTTGTGAGTTCTGCTGTTATTGTAGGTGCATATGTTTTTTTCTTAGAGATTTACTTTTATTTATGTGCAGTTATGTATATCTGTGGATATGTGTGTATACCACCTGTGCTCTGGTACCTGCAGGGGTCAGAAGAGAGCACCAGATTCCCTGGAACTAGGTATAGGCAATTGTGAGCACCTACCAAGGATGCTGGGAACCAAATTCAGATCCTCTGCAAGAGCAATAAGAACTCTTAACCACTGAACCATCTCTCCAGGTCATGCCCCCCCACCTCTCTCTTTCTGTCTCTCTCTCTCTTTGGTTGGTAGATGCAGGTTCATTCTATTATTCTCTCCACTTTGGTATGTGGGAGAAACTTTGATTCATTTGTGTATGAATACACATACATATCTATGGGTACATACACATATTTAATACATTTGTGTACATAAGAACATACACACACTTGGGGGGTTAGACTCTCACAAGTCTGTCCCACTGGCTGGCTTGGAACTTACAATATAGCACAGGCTGGCCTAGACTGTGAAGGTATCTTCCCGACTCTGCCTCGCAGGGGCTGGGACTGCATGCGTGTACCATCAGGCCCAGCTATTTACATGTTTCTTATGGCCTTCTCACTTATGAGCACGTCCATGGGGTATTAGGAAAGTATTCTTGGTGGGTTTTTGCTTTTTTATCTTCCCAGTTCTGGGGACAGGAAGTCCCTATCTTCCTGGAGAAGCAGCCCTGGGGTCCCAAGCTCTCTGAATGCTTATTACCTACTTTGGTGGTGAAGCTAAGTCCTTCCAATGCCTGAACCTCAGAGCCCCCGGTGAGATGGATCATAGTGAGACCACTGCTGTATGTGCAATAGGACCAAGGTGCTGGCAGAGGCTCTGCTCAGGGAAGCTTCTCAGAGGAAGTACAGGGACGGTTTGCGGTTGGGTTTGAAATAGCAGAGAGGTAAAGATCTGACTCACTGTGTCCCCCGGAGCAGTGGCAGTAGCTCAGCCTACCAAGAGCAGAATCCAAAGGACAAAGGGAGAGTGGAGGCCTCACTCTGAGGCTAAGACCTCCCTGTTGAGGGGTGGGGCTCTGCTAGAGTCTCACTGCAAGGAAGACTTTGTGGGGGTGGGGTGGGGGCTGGGGACTGGATGTCCTCAAGCTCCAGAACATGATCCAAGGCTTCTTTAGGCAATGAGTTTGCTTTCATTGGTGTGTGTGTGTGTGTCTGTCTGTCTGTCTATCTGTGTCTGTGTATGAACTCAGGTTGTACTGGGAATGGAACCCAGGGTCTCAGGCATGCAGGGCAAATGCCCTTCCAGCAAGCCTCAAGCCAAATCCACGGGCTTTCATCTAATGAATACTCTAAGTCTTGAAACAAACTGTTCTTTCTTTGGCTTCTGGAAAGCTCCAAACTCAGGTTGACCTCAAGCTTGCTATGTAGTGAAGGCTGACCTCGACTCCCACCTCCTCCTCCCAAGTGCTTGGATTACAAAGCACACTACCACACCGGGTTTATAGTTTTTTCCACTGATAAGTCATCTACATATTTTTTTCCTCCATTGGTTGTTGCTAAAAGTGACTTTATGTTATTTTTGGAAAGAAATAGCTCCAAGCAAATAAATAAAGTAACAATGTGAAGCTCGAGATTCCAATTAGGATTTCTTCTTACCCACTTCTGTTATTGTTGCCTTAACTTCACAACATCTTGGTGAATTAGAGGTAGGTGACCTCCCCTACCTCCTGTCAAAAGAATCTGGTTAAAACCCCAACATCCTGGGGCTGAGAAGATGGCTCAGTGGTTCCATCTAAAACTGTCACTGTGTAGCACACCGGGGAGTCAGTGATTGGCAGGTCCCTGGGCTGGCTGGCCCGCTAGAATGGTCTAGTCTACTTGGTAAGTTCCCGGCTACATATAAAGAGAGATCCTATCTAAAATGCAAAAAGCAAAACAACGACAAAAAACAAAGTGGACAGTCTTGAGGAACGCTGTCCCCTGGCCCACACTTGCACATACGCACGCACACCCACACCACACAAGTCCAGCATCCTCCTGCCACCTACCCCACTTCCTGCTCCTTAGGGGTAGCTTGGGTTCAGCCTGAACACTCCTAACTTTTTTTTTCAATAACATGCTGATGTTGCGAGTTTCCAATTTCTCAGTTTTAGACATTTCCTCTGGACTTCCCAGCGAGAAACAGAGGCTCCTCTGCCTGCCTGTGGCTTTACACAGTGTGCGTGTCATTGTGGTCACGAATGTGCTACCCGTGTGGTTACGTAACACTTTGTCCGTCAAGCTCGGTTGCTTTTCCCTTTCCTTCTCCCAGGAGGCGACCTCCCCCAGTCCCATGTTTTCACTGTTGGAGACTCAAAATCAGTTGGCATTATGAGGTCCTGCCCTGTGGCCTTGGGTTGGCACTGTGTGGGACTGCCAGACTTGCTATCTCTGCAGCCTCGTTTCTCTCAAAGAGAACTGAAAGCTGGTGTGTGTGTGTGTGTGTGTGTGTGTGTGTGTGTATACATGTGTGCAGATGAACATATGTACACAGATGTGGAGGTCTCAGGTGTCCTTTGACTTTTTGTCATGGGGTCTCTCACTGGTGAACTTCAGGGATCACTTTGTCTCTGCCTCCTATCTCATCATCAATGGGACTGGAGGCACGCACTCCCACACGTTTCCTGTAGGATCTGGGGATTGATCTCAGTCCCATGCTTACACTGCCAGTGCTCCCCTAACTGAGCCACTGCTCTAGTCCTGAGGAGCCCTTTATAAGTCACGATCCCCAAAACTTACCTGGAAGGAGCCCAGGGCCAATTCAAAGAACAGCTGGACTTCCATGGCGTCCTCTGGGGAGAAGGCGAAGACGATGTAGTGGATGCCGAAGAGGGGGATCAGCAGGAGGGTGGACTTGGTCAGGCGCCTGGGGACACAGGGTAGGCTGCCACTCCTGATCTGCCCAAGCCTTCCTCACACAGTTCAACCCGTCTAGGGCCTGGCTGTTTTAAGTTATGCTGGATCTATCTATCTATCTATCTATCTATCTATCTATCTATCTATCTATCTATCTATCTTTCTTTCTATCTATCTATCTATCTATCTATCCATCTATTTATCTATCTATCATCTAACTATATCTGTTATCTATTTGTGTATCTACTAGCCATTTATTTATCATTTATCAATTATCTTTGTATTTGCCTGCTTATCATGTATCAATCAACTATCACCTGTCATCCTTGAAAGTTTGTATCTATATCATCTATCTATGTACCTGTGTCTCATCTACTTATCTACCCTCTTATCTATGATCTATAATCTGTATTTTGCAGTGCTAGATGCGGAACGCCAGCCCTCACTCACGCTAAGCAAGTATCCCATTATAGAACAACATCTCCAGCACGTTTTCATTTATTTTGCAAAATCTCCAAAGTCCCATGCGCCAACCACTTAGGCACAACACTCGCCAGACGCATGACCAAGCCTCAGTGCTTCTGGTCTCCCCTTTCTATCAGTAACACAAATCAATAAGCACTCAACAGCTTCACCAGTGGACAAATCAGACACCTGTGCTATTGATGCTGTGCTTAGCAAATGAGGAGACCAGAAAGGGCCTTGCCATGCCCTTCCTACCCCACCTTGTCTCAACACCTCCTACCCAACTTCCTTGCCCTCCCAGCCTTGCAGTCCTCTGATAGAGGACTCAGATCTATACTTGTAGGCCTCCTGCCTGGTTTCACAGGTTTCTCTCCCCACAGTGTCTGAGGCTTCATATTCAGGCGTTTTCCCTCCCACCCACCCCAGTCATACTACAGGTATGCCCCAGGCCTGCCTTTCTACTTAGCATAGTGGAGTAAACAGCAGGTGTTCAGTAAGTGCTCGCTGACTGTCCCAGCATGCCAAACTTTCTGCCTTACACTTACTTGTACTGGTTCATTTCATTTCCTCTTGTTTCTTGGGTTCTAAGTTTTCTCATCAGGATTCGTAGAATGTTTATGAAAAGGATGAAATTGATCTGCAAGGCACAAGGCAAAGGTCAGGCTAAAGGTGTCCTGGCCCTGACCCGTAGAGCTGGGGACAGGAGAGACACCACAGCCAGGATGACAAATCGTGGCTGCTCATCCTGCACCCAGAGTCCCAGTGACACATTAATCCAGAGACCACAGCTGGAAACGACACACCCGCTGTCCGGGTTCAGTGGCCCACGGGTCTACACAATGCCAGCCAGATCACTCACCCTTGGGGCTTGTAATCCCCTGTAAATCTTGATGAATGAAGATTTGACTGAGTCTTGGAGTCCACTTTTATTTTATTTTGTTTTGTTTTGTTTTATTACAATATCTGTGTTTGCACATGTTTTCACTTGCGAGCACACACCACAGTGCGCACACATGCACACACACGTGCACACACACGCACGTGCGCGCACACACACACACACCCATGCACACACACACACACACACGCCTGCAGAGGTCAAAGACTAACTTGCAGTAGTCACTTCTCTCTTCTACTGCAGGTTCTGATGATGGAACTCCAGTGGTGAGGTTTGCACAGCCCTGAGCCTACGTACCAACCCTCACTCTTCTCCTTGATAGAGCATGCCACTGCAGAACTTGGACAAGCCTCAGACTCTCAATTCTCCTGCCTCTGTCTCCTGAGTGATGAAATGAACTTACTATGCTTGGGAAGAATGCGATCTCTGTTTTGTTGGTGGTGGGTTTTGAGGGGTTGGGGAATACTTATCTAAAATCTCTGAGCTCTAGGTCCTAAAGATAAGGTAAATGACTCCCAACAGGCTTGACCCACTCCCTCATCCACTCCTTAGGGGACAGCCTGCCTACCAACCTCTGGAATCCTGCTGTTTCTACCCTCCTGGTACCTGCTGGAAACTCAAGCTCCGGGATCTCCAACCCTCTGTTTCTCATGGGTCCAGTATTTCCTTACTTGTCCCCAGCTCAGAAGAGGATGGCCACTCACCAGGATGGACAGAATCACGGGTCCTCGAATGAGCCACCAGATGGAAGGGTTGGAATTGATGTCCCAGCATCTATGGAAGAGAAGAGGGTGTTAGGCATCGTTAGGAGGGGAACTGACTGACTGGCCGACATGTTTCCCAGTGCCACCCTTGGGAGGAAGACTGTGTTCATTATGCCATTAGCCATCACAGCTTGTGCCTACCGCCATTAAGATCTGTTCCCCTCAGTGGTTTAGAACACATACTACTCTTGCAGAGAACCTGACTTCAGTTCCCAGCATCCATGTAGGACAGCTCACAACTACCTGTAATCCCAGATCCAGGGGAGCCAGTGGTGTCTTCGGCTTCCGTGGGCATCTGCACTCACATGCACGCATCTGCACATATCCACATAACTAACAAATTCTTTAATCCTAAAGATACTTGTCCTCCTCTGCTACATCCAGTTAATGCAATGCTGGAATCAAACTCTGAGCTTCATGCATGCTAGGCAAGCATGCTACCTCTTGAGCCAGCAGTGTGAGATTAGCTGAATTCCTGGCTGCAGAGCCAGCTGCTGTAGAGACTGACTGTAATATGTTGTGCCGTGTTCTTGCTCCTCCTCCTACCAGCTTACCCGATGTCTTCCAGAAAGTGCCTGGTGACAGCCCATGAAGCAACAAAAATGACTGGAGAACCTGAAGGTCAAAACAAAAGGGAGGCATAGTATGATGTTTAATGTTGACAGTCAGCCTGGTGGAATTTAGAATGACTGAACAGACAGGACTCTGGGTGTGTCTTCAAGGAACTATCTAGGTAAGGCTAATTGAGGTAGGAAGACCCACCCCAAACGTGGTCAGCACTATCCCATGGACTGGGGTCCTGGGCTGAATCAAAAGGAGAAAGTGAGCTGAGCATCAGCGTTCATCTCTCTGTTTCCTGTCTGTGGGTGCCCTGTGAGCAGCTGCCTCAGGTTCCTGCTGCCCTGCCTGCGCCGCCATGACAGACTGTCCCCTCATACTGTGAGACAAACAGTCCCTTCTTAAGCTGCCTCTGTCCAGACATTTTCCCACAGCAGCAAGACAAGCAACTAATCCAGGTAGGGGAGAGAGAACTCAGGCACAATGAATGGGAACTTATCCTTATCTGGGTACCAGGTGGATGACAAGGTTTGATTGCCATGGAAACCCCTTTATCTTGCCTCAGTGTGCAGCCACATGGTACAAGGGTTCTGTTAATATCCTAAGAACTGCAGTGGGTTCTTATGGAACCTGAAAGGCTCTGGGGGTTAGGATGCTCCCAGGAGCCTGGGCCAGTTTCCTGAGGACTTCTGGGAGAGAAGGCACATGGGTGCACTTGGTGAGGCCCTGGTTTGAAATGGGATATACCTGGCAGAATGGGGTAGACAGAGAATCCAGCTGGTGGAAAAGCCGTTGACTTTGTTAAAGTGTTAACTTATAAACCTTGTCCACTGGGGCTGGGGAGAGGGTCCAATGCCTGAGAATATCTTCTGTGCAATCATGAACGCCTGAATCTGAATTCCCAGAAGCCACAGAAGAAGCTGGTACCGGGACCCACAATATCAGGTCTGGCTATTTGCTTTTCCTTTAAGCCCAGGCTGACCCAGAACTCAATATGTAACTTAAGGTGACCTTGAACTCCTGATTTTCCTGCCTCTACTTCTTGAGAACTGGGATTACAGGTGTGTGCACCACCATGCTGGGTGCTGGAGCCCGAATCTAGGACTTTGTGCATGATAGGCAAGCACTCTACACCCTTACTGTTTTAAGAGATGAGGTTTCACTGTACTGTCTAGTGGCCTCCAACGCCTAGACTGAAGCCATCCTCCTGCTGCAGCCTCACAAGTGGCTGAGGCTCCAGGAGTGCACCGCTGTGCCCAGCTTGCTTAGGTTTTCCACCGCGGCTCATGCAGTGATTCTAACAGGTTTGCTGATCTACACAATGGATGGAGAGAGATCAAGCACCCAGACTACTCCATTTTTAGATCTCTAGTAGACAAATCTCTACCTCACTCTGCTCCCCTGACCCCAACCAAGGGCATTAAAGGATGCTTTTCTGAATAAACTGAATGACCCTAGACAAAGGCCGAGAAACAGGGCTGCTGAGATGGCTTATTGGGTAGTTTGATCTAAGTTTGATCCCTGGACTCAGGAACTGACTCCTGAAAACTGTTCTCTCACCTCTACATGTATACTGTGACATGTGTATGTACATGCACAACACACACACACACACCCCTGTACATGATTAACAAATAAATGCAACTTTTTCGTCCCCTGGGGGAAATGGAGCTTTCTGTCAACACTGGACTAAGTCATTCCTATCTATGAACAGAGAGCCAAGGTCACAGACATCAGATTACAGCAAAAGCTGGAAACAAAACAACCAGAGAAAAGGAATTGAGAGGAAACAGACCAGACAGGGAGCAGAAGGAACCTGAACAAAAACAACCCCAGGAAGATCACAGGGAGACAGGAAAGATAACATCTACAAGAGATACAGGATGCTGCCTATTGGGAGCATCCAGAGGACAAGAAAGAGGGCAGAGAAACAAATATACGATTTCCAAGATAAACATTCAGTAGAAGAGTTGGAAGATAAAGGCAAGAAATGCCCGGAAAGCAGAAGAAGCCAACAGAACCGCAGGAGGCGGAGCGGGAACTTAGAACAAGGGAGGCTGTACCGGTGACGACAGAGCCTCTGCAGAGAGTGAAGCTGGGGCAGAAGGGAAGGTCTCCAAAACCAAGGACGTGGTCTGTCAGATGACTCAGAGTTGCACCCTAGGGACCTATATGGTGGAGGAGGGGATCAACTCCTGCTAGTTGCCCTCTGTCTCTCCATACACATGTCACAACACACAGATTCATCACACACACATTACATACATTAACACTAAATGAAAGAAAGAAAGAGGGAGGGAGGGAGAGAGGGAGGGAGGGAGGGAGGGAAGGAGGGAGGGAGGGAGGGAAAGAAGGACGACTGTCCTATAATTGTAGCCCTGAGGAGACTGAGGCAGGAGGACTGTATGTTCAAGGTCAACTTGAGCTAGATAGTGAGTTCCTATCTCAAAGCAAAAACTGCAAGAAAAAGAAATGGAGACCTGCACCTGTAGAATAAAGGGTAATAGAATAGGGCAGAGGAGGGCAGGGGAGGGCAGGGGAGGGAAGCTGTATCATAGTACATCCTTGTGACACACACACACCAGACATATACACACCCACTATATACACCAGACACACACACATGCACACACACACGCACACACACACCAGACATACACACAAACACACACACTGCACATACCAGATCTATATATACACATATACACTACACACAGACATAAGACATATACAGACTCAGACACACACACACACAACATACACACACCAAACATACACACAAACAGACATACACTGCACGCACCAGACATACACACTACACACACACAAGACATATACACACTCAAACACACACACTACACACAAATACACACAAAATTCAAGTTGACAAAACATGTAAGAGCTTAGAGATTTCCTTTGTATTTAATGATTTGGAAAATAAGACGCAAGCTTTTTCAGAGGAAGAATTAGTAAAAATAATTTAACTGGCTGTCTCCCTTCTGGTCTAATGGAGAAACAAGACCCTAGCACATGGAGATTTAGACAAGCAGAAGAGTCAGATGAGGGAGAGACACTTATTAATGAAGTACACGAAGGAGGGAGAGGAGCTGGAGAGATGACTTAGTGGTTAAGAGTTCTCACTGCTCTTTTAGGGAGTCCAGCTCCCAGCACCCAGTTGGTCGGCTCACAACTGCCTGCAAGTCCTCCTCCAGGGGATCTGATGCCCTCCTCTGGCCTCCACAGGTACTGTTCTCTCTCTCTCTCTCTCTCTCTCTCTCACACACACACACACACACACACACACACAGGTACATACATGTAATTATAAAATAAAATATTTAAAGGCACCAGGGAAAGCCAAATGCAGCTAGTGGTTGGGGAACATGATTCTCTCTGTAAACTCTGAGTCACTCACAGGACCCTGACTCTGCCTAAGCCCAATGGGTAAGTCACATCTGTATCAAACAATGATAATGTACAGATAAAATATGACTCCAGGAAAAAAAATGTTAAATAAATAGGAAACAAAATAATTGCATGCCACCTGGCTCAGCACTCAACAGCATTTTCTCAGTTCTGATAATATACACACTGAAGATGTAAATGAGTATGTGGGCTTGAGCCACAGCTGTGAAAACTAGGAATATACGTGTGAATGAGGCGTTTGTATCTTTATCTTCCATCAGAAGGCAAAAATGATACCTCAGATGGACAGATCAAGAAAGAGCGGTATGTTATTTAGAATGGGGGCTGGGGAGTTGGTTCAGTTGATAAGATGTTTGTCTTGCAAGCATTGGGGCCTGAGTTCAACTCCCAGAACTTGAAAAACAGTTGTGTGAGGTGAAGCACACTTGTAATCCCAGCACTGGGGAGGTGGAGGGGAGGTGAAGCATGTTTGTAATCCCAGCACTGGGGAGGTGGAGGGGAGGTGAAGCACACTTGTAATCCCAGCACTGGGGAGGTGGGGACAGGCAGAGTCCTGGAGTCTGAGCACCAGTTCACCCAGCACTTGGAAAGTTCAGCACCCATCTTCCTGGCGAATGGATTCTAAGACATGATGCCTGGGTTGTCCTCCCGGATGCACACGCATGCCCCTCTCGAGTGCCCCTCCTCCCAGGGAAGGAGAAACATGAAGATAAACATTAGGAGGAACCATCAGCAGAACTGAAGAGCGGGGCTGGGGAGTATGGCCCCGTGGTAGAGCATTTGTGTAGTACGCAGGAGACCCTGGCCCAATCCCAAACGTTGTTACATCTCTTACTTGGCTGAAGTCCTGGGGGAGATGGGGTTGGCAATCTGGTGTCAGTAATCTTTATGTTGTTTTAGTAAGTATAAATGGAGACAGCATCTCCTGTAGCTCAGACTGTCCTTGAACTCACCGTGTGGTTAAGAGAGTGGCCTCGTATTTGCGATCCTGGGATTACAGGTGTACACCACCAACCAGGCCGATTCATGAACAGAAGACAAATGTTCTACCAAATTGAAGCACACCCCCAGCCTTAATCCCTGTATTTTTGTGAGTTCTGAGCTTAAAGAATGGCTTAATGTTGAGTCAATCATGGTCCTGATCTTACAGATTTCTCAATTACAGATTAGAACTATGGAGCTCTGTGAGCTGCCTTCTAAATCAGGGGCAGTCAAAGGCAAGTCCCTGGTCTCCGTGGGATTTCTTGCCTATGCAGACACCTGCATGGTCCTACAAGCCTCTGCTGGTCAAGGGTCATGTGCTAAACAGGCCAAAGTTCTGAAGCAGGAGGGCACAGTGTGTTTTGCCAGCCTTCCTGCTGGTCTGATGGAGAGAAGAGACTCTAGCCTGTAGAGATTTAGATAAGCAGAAATACCAGAAGAGGGCCTCCCTTGCAGGGATACTTCATAGGTAAAGGTGCCAGGCAGAAACCAAATGAAACTGGGAACCACTCCCAGGAGCCTTATTCAACCTAGAACCTTGAGGTTACTTACTGTATGATAAATCAAAATAATGAATGGGTACATAGGTAGGTGGACGGACGGACAAATGGATGGCTAGACAGATGGATGGCTAGACAGATGTATGGAGAGGTGCATGGATGTGTGAGTGACTATGTGGATAGGTGTATGTGTGTATGTATGGGTAGGGGGTATATACTATATTAATAAGTAGGTAGCTGGATGGACAGACAGATGGATATTGGCACACAGTGACAGAGTGGATGGGTGGATGTTTGTTACTGTCGGGTAACCCTGAATCCACCCTTGTGAGCTGAGCATATGCATCCCATCTCTGAGCTTAAGTCGCTGAACAACTTCTGGAGGTTCGTGAATTGATTAAGTGGCCAGTGTAAAGCACTGAGCCACCACCTGGAATACAGTCAGTGTTCAAGAAATGGGAGTTATTTCCCTTGGCCAGAAAGGAGAGGAGGAAAATATGTGGTGGGGGCCTCTGCACAACTGGCACGCTGTCATGTTCTCTTTCCTAGAAACAAAATCCTTAATGTCCTTCGGAAACCAGGTGGTTTGAGTGGCTGATGACCATCGGTGCACTCAATCCTCTCAGACCCTTGTGGTCATCTCAGTCACATGGGTGAGAGTCATGTGACTCAACCAGAATGAAGTGCAGAGCAGTTCAGAGAATGGTGGGACTGTGTGTGTGTGTGTGCTCCCAGAGGTCCCTTGTCTTTGTGTTATGGGAGCCTGGTAGTGAGAACCAGGTAGCCCACAAAGCTCCTGGGGGTAACATGGAAAACAGTGTGAATAAAGTCACTGTTACAAATGGCAGTGTAAAGAGAGAAAGAAAAACATTAAACGCCTGTATTCGGCTTGGTGTGAAGCTGGGGATCTCTGTATTTGTCAGTTATGTGAGCCGGCCTGTTCCCTTTCTGCTGAAGTCTGTCTGAGCCGTGTCTCCTGAGCTCAGACATAAAGAGGACACAAGCATGAATTATCTGTGGAAGACCAGTGCTGGGCGGAATAAAATTGGAAAAAGCTCAGGATGCTCAGCATTCAATTGAAGCTAAATTACAGCTCTTATTTCACATTTGAAAGGCAAAAACAAACCCCGAGGTCAGAGGGTTAACCATCCGGCAACTTGCCAAAGATTACCCAAGTTAGTTCAATGTGGATCTGGGACCAGACACTAAATGCCCAGTTTCTTTCTGCATATACTCTACAGGTTGGATGGATGGGTGAACAGATGGAGGAGAGGATAAATGGGTTGGTGGTTGGGTAGATAGGGGGATGAATGGATGAGCAGGCAGGGAATGCATGAATGGATGGATGGATGGATGGATGGATGGATGGGTCTGTGGATGGTGGGTGGGTGTGTGGATGGGTGGATAGATACATGAGTGGGTAGGTGGGTGTGTAGATGTGTGGGTGGATAAATGGTGGATGGTTTAGTGAACAGATTGATGGGTGGATGGATGGAGCTGCAACTAGAAACTGAATCCTCCCGACTCTCAGTCTAGCATCCTTTCCTGAAAACCACACACGCACAACACCATGGACAGACATACCCCATCCGAGGAGCACAAAGGCCTGCAGGCATTTCCTTTCTGAGAAGAAGGAGATGGCGAGGAGCGTGTGAAGGTAGAGGCCCTCCACCAGCAGCCACGCATAGTTGGTCATGATGCAGTACTGGAAGAAGATCATGACCAGCTTACAACCCACCTGGAAGAGATAGGCACATGAGCCGGGGCTGGGCGGCTGAGCCTCCCTTGGGCAACTACTCCCAAAGAAAACAGCACCGCATGGTAGGAGGCAGGTCTAGAGTGAAACCTGAGGGGTACAACTGTCTCCACAGGGCTCTGGAGATGCTCAGTGGTGAAGGGTTTGCTGCACAAGCATGAGGACCTGAGTTTGATTCCCAGAACCCACATTTTTAAAAGGCAGATAGCACAAGCTTGAAATCCCAGCACCAGGGAGGTGGAGACAGGCAGATCCCAGGGCTCGCTGGCTAGCCAGCCTAACAAACTTGGAGAGCTCTGGGCTTGGGGAGCTCTGGGCTGGTAACGGATCTGGTCCCAAAGAATAAAAGAGGCAAAGTCTGAGGAAGATTATCTGAGTTGACTGATATCTCTGCATGTGTATACACACTCATGCACAAGCATGTGCACACATAGGGATGAACACACTCAAGGGGTCTCCTGAAGCCTCCTTTGGTCAGAAGACCAGGCCCACAGTGTTCTCTAGAGACTGCAAGTCCCCAGGTCCAGTGAGGATGACCTAGGACCTGCCAGGAATCAGGGAGTAGATTCCACTTTTGAACTGGCCCTGAGCCTTGCATTCCTTCAGAGAAAACCACCCGGTGCTGACCAACGCCTTCATTTTCCAAGGATGACATTATCGCCTAGGGAGAGAGTGGGGTGCTGAGTCAAAATTAACAAAACCACTTTTCCTCTTCCTTGTGTTTGTGTGTGTATGTGTGTGCTTGCACATGTGTGTGTGCGTGTACTCTCTGGGAGATAAATAAAAAAGCAAAATCTCTCAAAATGAAAATAGTGTTTAATCTGCAGCCTTCTTCCTTGCCCAGAATATGGATGTGAAATTTGGAGGTGCAGCGCCCATATTGCAACCCTAAGATGAAAGCCTGAGGTTGAAGGCCCACATCCGGGCAGGACAGACAGAGGGCAAGACTTTGGGTCACTAAGAGTCTTCATCAGTGAGCGGCTTGTGATGAGCGGTCAGGGTTGCCAGGTGACACATAGAGTGAGTGCAGTGGCATAAGCGGCATCTGCACAGTGGGAGGAAGAAAATCACTTAGGGAAATGATGTTTTTCTAGAAGCCTGGGTGTACAGATGTTCAGGCATGAATGCACTTTCCCCCTCCATTAACCAGGCAGCTTCCTCCAGACTTTGCCATTTTGGTAGTTGGCAGGAGTCCAGAGAAGTCTGACCGCAGTTCTAGTTCCCAGGGTGGCTGGTCCACTCCAGAGCACTGGGAATTAACGGAGGCCTCCACTGATTCCCCATACACATGACTGACATCATGTCTCCAAGGCTGCAGAACCTTGTGGAACCTTCTGGAACCTCCATGTCCTGCCAAACACCACCTTTTCCCTGGAGCATCTGTGTAATCTTAATGGATGCTTGCTTGCAAGGAGGACGTTGAGCTACGGGATTTGATCTTCTCCAAGGTCAGCCTAGGACACTTAGGCACATTACCCTACGGGCATCACAGTAGGTGACGTCATCCGAAGGGAAGAGTACCGCATCCTTGATGAAGTTGGACAGGGCTCGCAGGATGAAGGACACGAACAGGTGCATGTGGATGTAGTTGCGGGTGCAGTGCAGCCTCCTGTCAGAGAGACCATGGAGGGGGGCTGGTGTTCTGACAGGTCCACCTGCCCTGCTCCTCCCCTGGCATGAGGAAACCAAAGCACCGCCCTAGCCCTCAAGTCCTATCTCTCTATGGTAACAGAACCTGCCTGAGGACATAGATCTCTAGGTGCCCGGTGCACCCTGTACTGTACTAAAGTCACAAAGGAAAAGATAGCCAGGCATAGTGGTACATGCCTGTAAATCTAGCACTTCGACAGTGGAGGCAGATGGGTCATCTCAAGTTCTAGGCTAGTAGGGACCATGAGGCCATGACTCAAAATAGAATAGACTAGAGCAGAAGAGATAACACAATCACTAGTTTTGTAACAGCAACCTGTCTTCGGGCCTGACCAACCACTGCCCCCAGTTCCTGGATTTTCTTCTGTGCTCTAGGGGCTGGAAGTTTGTTGCTGGTCCTCCCTGCCATTATCTCATTTTGAGATAGGATCTTATGCACCTTGGTCTGGCTTCCGATTACCTATGTAGTCAAGGATGACTGTGACTTTCTGATCCTCCCACCTCCACCTGGGGTGGCCACAGGGATGTGTCGCCAGAGCCAGCTGATACCAGAGCAGGGGATAGAATCCAGGGCCTTGCGTTTGCTAGGCAGGCACTCTACCAACTGAACCACACCCCTCGACCCTCAAGGAAACTTAACTAGGGAGTGCCCAGCCTTTCAGCTTCTCTGGACTGCACTGAACAAAGAATTGTCTTGGTGGACACATTAAATCCAGGGCTCCAACTACAGCCTTCTGGATCGGAGGACTTACACATGTTTACATGTCGTCATTGTGCATGACATTGCAACAGCACATTGCCGTCTACAGATTCGCTGCTTTTTTGAGTTATAAAAATACATTTTAAGTTTTTGATTTTGTATTGAGCCACATTTATAGCTGTCCTAAGCTTCACAAGAGGGCCAGGCAGCCCACCCAGACCTCCCTCTTTCCATCCTGAGTGGGTTAGGAAGACTTGAGGGCTGGGGGACTCACCGGAAAGAGCACAGGATGCTGAGGGCGACCAGGAGCATGGCCAAGGAGGCGCTGTAGCCTACAGTGTACATGACCTTGAGCTTCAGCAGGTATGCGTGCTGCAGAGAGAGGCACAGGTGAGCCCTACCTGCTCATCTGGCCATCGTCAGCCCTTCTGTGTCCCAGGGTACTGGCTTGAGGCAGCATTGGTCCTGACAATCTTGACTGCTATTCTGATGCCTGTGGGTAGGTCCCTTTACCAGCACTATGAATGCAACTTTACTGGATTTTACTTCCTCACTAATTTTGGAGGAACAATGCAAAATACTAGAAAATTTTGTTTATTTGTTTTTTGAGACAGGGTTTCTCTCTGTAGCTTTGGTGTCTATCCTGGCACTAGCTCTTGTAGACCAGGCTGGCCTCGAACTCACAGAGATCTGCCTGCCTCTGCCTCCCAAGTGCTGGGATTAAAAGTGTGCACCACCACTGCCCAGTGTATGGCAGAGTTTTGCTTTTTGTTTTGAGAAAGGGTATTATGTATCTCAGGCTGGCCTCAAACTTTCTAAGTGGCCATGGATGGCCTTGAACTCTGGCTCCTCCCGCCTCCACTTCCAAAGCGTTTGGATCACAGGTGGTGTGTGCTGCCATGCCTGGTTTATATGGTGCTGGGAACCAAACCCTGAGCTCCATGCATGCAAGGCAAGTGTTCTTTCAACTTAACTACACCTCCAGCTCTTGTTTTGTTCTGAGAAAGGGTCTCTCATATTCCAGGCTGGCTTTGAAAACCATCTAACTTGAACTCCTGATTCTTCTAAGTACATGCATGGAAGGTGTGTGGTATCAGTCCCCACCAGAATCTTGGTCATGTTATTGTTTTTAAAGGCAAGGTTTCTCTGTGTAGTCATGGCTGTCCTGAAACTCACTCTGTAGACAAGGCTAGCCTCTAACTCAGAGATACCCCTTGCCTCTGCCTCCCTAGGGCTGGGATTAAAGGCGTGAGCCACCACACCTAGCTCCAAATCCTTTTAAGTAGCCCTGAAGGCAGCTAGCTTTTGTAGTCCAGTTATTAGTCTTTTCTTTTCTTTTTTCTAGAACCACCTAAAATCGATTAGTCTTCTAGATGAAGGTGTTGTCTGGAGGAAAGTTGTAATCGTATTCAATGCCTTGCCATTTCAAATAAAGCTCCTCTTCCCACTGTCCCTCTACAGCCTGCTCTGCATTCCTTGCCTATTTTTCACCTCTCTCCACACCCTTCACCATTTCATTCACTTCATTCATTAAAACGGTGAGGTTTGTTGATGCTCAGTGTTTTAAATGAGACATCCAGAGGCTGAAGCAGTGACTCAACACTCAAGAGCTTGCTTCTCTTTAGAAGGCCCAAGTTTGGTTCCCATATCTACGCCAAGCAGCTCACAACCACCTGTAACTAATTCCAGTTCCTGGAGAACAGACACACTCATCTGACCTCCAAGGGCACCTACACATATGCACATATATGTACAATACACATAAATAAAAAATAAAATATCTCCAAATGGCAAAAAGGAGCACTTTGCTAGACAGCGCTATAAGGAAGACGCAGAGGAGCGTCGCCTCGACCTATGCCCTACACTATCAGTGGCGTGACATGTACTCGGTCACCGCCTCTTCACACTGACGCAGAAATATTGCAGTAGAAAGGGATATTGAACTAAAAAGAGGTAAGACCTGCATTTAGGCCCAGGTACATAGTCAAGGTGGGTCGAGGAAATGGACATTAAAATAGTGGTAATATTAACAACCAACTTCAGAGATTTTAAAATTAATAATACTCTACAAAGGTGAGGGTACAGTAGGAATGAAAACTGGTTCAATTTCAAGAAAAGAATGTAGAGATACGTACTGAGGGCCTTTGAGGTGGGCGCTTCTTCTGGCCTCCCTTCTATCTTGTGACAGGGTCTCTGTAGTTGATGGTGACCTTGAACTACTAGATTTCTTAATGCTGCCTCCCAAGTGGTGTGTGCCACCCTGCCAGGCTTTCACAGTGCCAGGGATGGAAGCCAGGGCTTCCTGCATGCTAGACAAGCACTCTACCAACTCTGACCAACTCTCTAGGAGTTAATCCTAAGAAACTGAGTCAGCCCTCCACAGTCACAGGTTCTGTGTCTATATATTCAATGAACCACAACTTTAAAATATTGGGGACACGGAGCTATTTCTGGGCCGATGAGGTGGCTTAGCAGAAAAGGGTATTTGTCACCAAGGTTGACACTCTGAATTCTACCCTTGGGACCCCCGTGGTGGGAGGAGAGAACCAGGTTGTAAGTTGTCCTCTGACCTCCACACATGTGCCATGACACATGCCCCTGACCTGGAATAAACAAACCCCAAAATAAAAAAACAAAGGTGCTTGTGTCCCAATCATGTGCCGACACTGGTCCTTGTTCTCATTCCCTAGAGACTCCAGTACCACTGTTCCAGAGCACGCATGCTATGTTCAGCATTGTGACTTCAAGTACACGGAAGGGTGTGCATAAGTGACATGTGGATATTATGTAATTTTATGTAAGAGATTTGAGTATCTTCAGATTTGGGTATACAGAGTTCCCCAGAACCAGTGCCATTAGGACCCCGAGGCACAAAAATCCTTGAAAAAATATTTAGACATTTTTAAGGTTACATAGTGTGTGCGAGTGTGTGTGTGTGTGTGTGTGTGTGTGTGTGTGTGTACAACAAGCCTGGAAGAAGCCTTTTTCTCCATTGTGTTGGTCTGTAAAGGTGTTTATTACAGACCTACTGGGATGGAAGCTTCCGGCGCCCAACAGTAGCATAGTCTAGTATGCTATCTTAACCTATGTATCTTTTTGTTTGGTTTTTTTAGACAGGGTTTCTCTGTAGCTTTAGTGCCTGTCCTGGAACTAGCTCTTGTAGACCAGGCTGGCCTCAAACTCACTGACATCCACCTGCCTCTGCCTCCCGAGCGCTGGGATTAAAGGTGTGCGCCACCACAGCCTGGCTGACCTACATATCTTTAATGTTTTTCCGGGATTAAATTGATGCTTCCAGTGAGATTTTAAAGAAGTCAGGGCCTGGTCACGGTGCACACAAAGACAGGAGACAGACTTGGAGCACTGTGTGATTTCAGATATATAGACAGAAGGGTTGAATTATGATAGACGGAAATTTTTGTGATTATTGTGATTGGGTAACTGGGGCTGGAGCTCAGTTTGCAGACTGCTTGTCTAGTATGCGAGAAGCCCTGGCTTCCATCCCCTGCACTTCAGAAAGTGGGTGTGAGGGTAAACAAGCAGGTAGAGGTTGAGGGATCAAAAGTTCAGGTTCTTCCTGGCCACACAGAGAGATTAAAGCCATGTTTGACTCCATGAAACCCTGATGGAACAGGAATAAAGTAAGCCACTGGAATTCACTATCTGGGCAAAACATTTTTGTTTTTAAATTGAATATCATGTTCTGAGGGGTCTTGCCTGGGACCTGTACTTATATATCCTGTGATTAGATCTGATAATTACTTTTTAAAAATTTATGGAGCTGTGTAACATAGTGAGTTTGAGGCTAGCCTATGGGACACAAGACCTTGTCTTGGGGGGAAAAAGGTATCAGCCAATCTGTGGGCTTCAATTTCTTATCTTCATTAAAAACAACCTTGTGGTGAGCTGGTAGGGTTGATCATTGAGGGAAGACACGTTCAGACAAGCCATGGTGTGAGTTCAGTGCTCAGTTCCTCATAATAGAAGGAGAGAACGGAATGCAGCAGTGCCCGCTGGTCCTCTGAGCCAGGGTACAGGTGCCAACCCCGCCCCCATAACACAAACAAAAAAAATGTAATAAAAATTTCTTTTAAAAAATGGTAGGGAGACGTGTCACGTGGTAAGGAGATATGTCAACGTGCCAGCAAGACCTCGGTCTCCTGGTTCTGAGCAGAGCTGTAAGTTTCTTTCATCTTTGTCAGTGCTGGCATTTTCTACAGTTGGTGAGTGCTGATTAGTAAGCGGATGAAAAGGGAGTTGCAGCTTTAAGGCACCAGAACTGTGCAGGGAGCCTTCCTGACTTAGCAGCTTAGGGCTTGGGATGGGAACGGCCCACGTTCCGTAGCATCACACGGTAGACAGGAAGGAATCAAGCCAAGCTTCCAAACCCAAGAAGGCCAGCCCGTGAGCGAATGACTCAACTTCTTTGAGCTTTAGATTCTTTATCTTCAAAGCAGGAATCACATGTTTTCCCCTGCAGGCTTGTTGAAAACGGGAAGAAGCTACTGGATGGGCTGTGTCTACAGTGCTTGGCATTCAGAAGCCCCTCAGCATGTGGTACTTCCCCCAGCCTTCCACTCCTCAGCATGAGTCAGCAGGGTCAGATGGTAGGAACTCGGAGTTAGCCTCCAAAAATAAAAATGGGCTTATTTTCTCTTTCACTAATAGAATGCGCTGAACAGGTGGCCATGTCACTGGGAAGTCATGAGTACAAGCGTGTTATTTTAGGAGGTACCTTAACGAATCTGGATGCTTTGGGAAGACAGCGATCGGTCGCCTCACCCGAAGTGCACAGAAAAAGCCAAGCGTGGGGGGCGGTTGAGTGTTGACAGTTTAGGGGGAACATATCAGAATTATTGACAAGATAAAATACAAGACTCCCTGTGTAAGGCCTAGTGCAGGAAGCTTGCATGTAGATTTCCACTCAGAATAAACAGGGACATTTTGGCATCAGATGACTCTCCATGTGAGGCCAACTGTGTGGGGTGGAGTCTCCTTCCTTCAGCAACTGTCCCTGAAGTCAAAGGCCACCTCTCAGGGTGACGAGAACTAAGAGGGATGATGAGCTGCCTTTAGATTAATGACCCCTAAAGTCTGGGACACCCAAGAATCCTGCAGGGCTGGGACATGGCTGAGTTCCAGCCATATAAACTGGGCATGGTGTGCATGCCTGCCACCCAACACAACGGAAGCAGGAGGATCAGATGTTCCCAGTCACCTCAGCTCCATAAGGAGTTTGAGGCCAGCCTGGGTGTGGAATGTTGTGACTGGCAGCAGTTTGGGGGGCTGGAGAGGGGAGTAGAATGACTGGTTTAGTGATTAAAAGCTCGGAGTTTGCGTCTTAGCACCACATACATCAGGCACAGGGTAGCGAGCCTGTAATTCCAGTACTCTGGAGAGGACGGAGGAGGAACAGGAGTTTTAGGCCATTCTGGGCTACTTAGGGAAATTGAGGCCAGCCCGGACTGTCTGAGACTGCTTTAAAAAATTAAGTAAAAAGAGATCTGTGGAATTTGACAAGTTCTTGGGTCAGCCTGTTGGTGTGCAATCCTAGCTCCCGAGTTCAAGCTCTTAACCATTACACCACACTCTTTCCTTCAGCCACCACACTACGCTCTTCCTTCAGCCGCTACACCACACTCTCTCCTTCAGCCTGAAACTTGGCACAGGGAGGCCCAAACCACTGAGGGTGGCAATCTGGTCTTGTGATGCCTACACCAGTTCATGGGAGCCCAAGAAGGCACATGCTGACTGTGTGAAGTGTCCTGGCAGAATAATTTGTCCTATTCAGTACTAAGTGACCTTGAGCCCCGATTTCATACATGTGAGGTCTGATCCCAGCATGACCCTGATTCCCAGGAGTTCTCCTGTGACCCTTGTTCCCTCAGCTTTTAACATCTGCAGCTGTGCCTTGGCCCTAGAGGGCTCAGAGTCCAGGAATACTCCAGGAATACCCCTGCTCTCTGTCCTGGGGCCTGGCAATGCCACCTGTTTGCTGTCCTACTCAGCAGACAGCAAGTGTTTCCTATGAAGAGACAGACAGTAAATAGTTTAGGGTCAAGGTGTCACAGGTCTCCCGCAGCTACTCAGCCCTGTCCCTGTCACACAAAAGCAGCCTTGCGGTGCTAATGGACTTGGCTCTGTACCAATAAAACTTCATTTGCGAAAGCTGCTCATGGCCCAAGGCCACAGTCTGGCAATCTTTGTTCTGAGTAGGTGCCCTAGACACTGTAGACACTTAAGGGGCATCTATACCTGATCTCTCTATCAGTCTAAGGCCACTACTGACATTTGTCAATACTCTAGTAACACATGCCCAGGAAGGGGACGGGAAAAGAAAGAATGGAAGGAAGGAACAAAAGAACGAAGGAAGAGAGGAAGGAGGGAGGGAGGGAGGGAAGGAAGGAAGGAGAGAAGGAAAGGAGGAAGGAAAGAAGAAGGGAGAGAGAGAGAGGGAGGGAGGGAAGGAAGGAAGGAGGGAAGAAAGGAAGAAAGAAAAGAAGGGAAGGAGGGAGGGACGGAGGGAAGGAGGGAGGGGGGGAGGAGGAAAAGCCAAGGAGGACATGTCATCGTCAGCCAGAGGACAGAGAAGGGTTTTAACTAAAATAACAAAGTTTAAGCAGAGATGGGACTCAGCCGGTTGAGCACTGCTTGCCTAGAGTGCACAGAGTTCTGGGCTCCATCCACACACGCTATAAACTAGGATTATCACATGCTGATAACCCTGACCCCCAGATCCTCTCTGACTTCCACGTCCTGTCTAGGACCTCATCCTGCATTCACCCATCTCGGTTGCCCGGTGGTGCCACATGACAGGCTTACCCGTTTCTCGTTAGAGGAGTCATTCATGTCGACGCCGCAGGCCAGGTCAGGCCTGGGGAAAGTTTCTGACCAGCCATCCTGGGTGCAGTTCCTGAAGAGGGACCCTGGGGGTGACAAGTGTACCGCAGATGAGTAGAGGGGATCAGGCCATGGCACCATGCGGTACAGTCTCTGGTGACATGAAACTATTACCACCATTTTACAGGTGGGCAAATTGAGGCGTGCGGTGGTGGCGTAACTTGCCCACATCATTATCTGAGTAAATGGAGAATTAGGGTTGGGTCTGCTCTTCACAACATGTACGGGTCCCTTAATTACACCCCAGTTCTACTGATGTATTAGAGGGGTCCTGAGACATCTGGGTGGATAGTGAGGACTTAGCTTCTGTTACAATGAATCCTTGGGCTCCCACAGTTCTCTCTGTCTATCTCTCTCTCCCCCTCCCTCCCCTGTTCTCCCATCCTTCTCTCTTCCCCCCTTACCCCCTGTCTCTGTGAGATCAGAGGTCAACCTTGCGTCCCATTCCTCAGATGCCATCCACCGGGGCTTTTTGAGACAGTCTCTTATGGGCTTGGAGTTTGCCAATTAGACGAATCCATCTGGTTAGATAGTCCCAGGGATTCCCCTGCCTCTGCACGCTGACACTGGCATTACAAGTGCATTTTTTAAAGGTTCTGTGTCTTCACACTTGCCCATTGTATCCTGCTCGTCTCACCAGATGGAAACCATCAGACACCACCGAGGCAAAGCCTGTCAGGCAACTGCCCCTCGTGGAAGGAATTCCTTTGCGTGCATTTGAGGCTGCCTGTTGAGACAGTTGAAACTGTCTGTCCTCCATCCCTGCCTGGCACCACGCTGCAGAATGACTCCTCTGAACACTTGGGTAATGGCTTCCTAGAACCAAGAGTGTGGCCCCGAGTCCTTGGGCGTCACACTGGCCTGCTTCACAGGCAGAGTACGGTGTGAGGTCGGCAGACCTGTGCCAAGCTCTTTTCATAGAGAACGGGTTTGAGTTTCCTACTGCATGGGGTACACTAGGGAGGGAGAATTCCCCACTGGGGAATACATGTGTGTGCTTGTGTATAGGCATATGTATGCTCTAGAGATTTCACCAGGACCTCCTGCGTGCTAGATACACATTCTAACACTGACACTTTCCTGTCCTCCACCTGACTTTTCAAAGCCAGCATCCAAAGACAAAGGAAAGGAACCATTGACCGGGAGGGAGCCACTGGTCAGGGCAGAGCCACTGGCCAGGAAGGCGTCCTGCAGGTTCCAGGATACGCTGCCCTTCCTGGTCTGAATGACCACCTGAATTTTCATCCTAGTCACCAAGGACCTGTGTCCTTCACAGACTGAGGGTGACATCACCAATTCCATGGATGGGAGTCCTGTCTAGTGGCCTCTTTACAACCCTTGCTGGGCCTGATTTGCTCTCTCTTAGTGACCCCAAGGCCTAGGTCATCATTTGTGGTTTGGGCCCAACAGGTTCCACTGAACTGGAGAAACACTGACAGCTTTTCTCAGACCTGTCCGGTTCTAAACTCTTTCTGTACGGATCCTGCTCTCATCCCACAGCCCAGGGAAGGAGCACTGGGAAGCAGTGCACAGCCGGAGTGCATGCCAGCACTAGCTCTCTCCCATCAGGAGCACTTCCTATAGCTCCACGGTGGCTTCCAGTCTCAGAATGCCATGTCTTTAGGGCCCTAGACATCTCCACCCTTACAAGGTTCAGGAGGCTGCAACCGGCGGCCTAGAATCAGCCGAATCACAGTTCCCTGCCCAGCGTGGTTTCTTGGTCTTAATGAGGCTTTACCCACATCACCCTCCCCACAGTCAGAGTGTCGTAAAGAAATGTCCAGGCTGCTGCCAGCCAGAAACGGCCTTCCCACGAGAGGCAGGCAGGAGCAGGATGTAGTCTTAGCGTTCAATGGAGGGGTGAGAACGTTTTGAAATGAAGTCGGGGAGCCACTGTGGGATGGGAAAGAATGGCAGTCAAATGTCCACTGACTGGATAGAAACGCAGCTTCAGAGCCGGAGGCTGTCGGCACAGGCTGACATGGCGGCTCTCTATGGGCCCAACCCAGCACAGCCTGCCTGTCTAAGGCCCTATATCCTCAGGGACCCAGTAGCATTCCCAAGATATCTGACTGTGACTCGGATTGGCTCCTGAACCTTTGACAAGTCTATGTGGTGCCGATGGACAGCAAAAGGATGGGCTCTCTCCACCGGCTCTCTCCACTCACTTACTCTGGGGTTCATCCCTAACAAGGACAGGGATTCCTTCCTAAGAGCCCTGAAAGCTACAGTTTGCATGTCTGTGTGTGCATGCATCGCAGTTCAGGGCAGAACCTATCTAAAGCGTCATTTGATTCTCCCCGGGATCCTGCCTAAAGACTGTACCAGCACCTAATCCCACCCAGAAACATTGTGTGTGTGTGTGTGTGTGTGTGTGTGTGTGTGTGTGTGTGTGTGTACTCAGCGGTCAGATACTGACATAAAGTATCTTCCTTGTCCACTCTTTGCCTTATTTTTTTGAGAAAAGGTTTCTCACTGAACCTAGTCTGGCCTAGTATTCTAAGCTGACTGGCCAGTCAGCTCCAGATCTTACTGCCACTGCCTCTTCAGCACGAGGGCACAGGCGTGCCTCTCTGTGCCAAGTTTTTCCCTGATTGGTAGGGATTAGGTCCTCATGCTTGTGCGGCAAGCGCTTTACCAACTGAGCCGTCTCCCCAGCCCCTTCTTTTACTCTTTATTTTGAGACAGAGTCTCACTGAGTTGCTCAGAAAAGCCTCAAACTTGGAATCTTGCCTCAGCCTCAGAGGAGGCTGGGATTACAGGCCTGAGGGATCATGTCCTGCTAAATACATCTTAAACAAGGAACTTTGAAAATGCCAGTACTGTTTTCAAAGGAGAACAAATCAAAGGAATGTCTCAAGGACGCTGAGACATTCAAAGGAAGTTCTAAGCCTGGCACGAGAACTATCCGAGGCAGAAAGCGGCCTGCAGTTTTCCCAGCCACTCAGATGCCTGTCTAGGCCAGTATGGAGACTGTTGTGGCAAAAAACTACTTAGGAAATAATTCTAGAACGTGCTTCCCATGTTCAAAAAGAAGTTGTCCTGAACACTGACTGGTGTCCATGTCTCTCTGGAGTTGGGGACACACTACAGGGAACCTTCTTCTCTGGAGGACCAGAGGGCAAATGTCTAATCAGATCCAGTTCTTGGTGAACTGCAGGCTCAGACAGGTCCTGACCTGTGCTCTTGGGCCAGCCAACCCCCTGAGGCTAGGTATGAGTCCAGGGAACAAGCTGATCCTCCCACCAACCCAGGAACCAGGCCAGCACCTACAAGGCAGGGCCTCAATGTAAACCTGCGGCCCCACAGTGACACCATGTGGTGGTAGGTGAAGCTGCAGCGAGGAAAACTGATCATTCAGAAGTCTTCTCGTTAATGAGGTGGGCAGAAGTTCAAGCAGTTAACTGGGGAGCGGTGTGAGCAGGCAAGCCTCTGGTCACCCTGGGGCCGCAGGCAGTGGTTTCTCCTAGCCACGCTGCAGAAGGATAGATGTGCTGGCTCAGAGAAGGCTTTGAGGAGACGGTTGGTAGACAGAAGTTCTTTTCAACAGGAACCTGGCCAGCCCTGGATATCTGGATGTTAGGGTCAGCACATTGCTCCAAGCCAACCACGGAGGCAAGAACGGCCTGAGTCCTAAGCTTCATGGACCCAAATGCCTGACGTGAGGGGTCCAGGCAGGAGGAAAGACCGTTGGTAAGATTGAAGGTGTGAGCGTGACGGGGATGGGGGGCTAGAGTGGAGGATTGGAGCTTGGTGAAGAAAATTTGAGATGTGGAGGAGAAGAGAGGGAGAAGAAATAAAGGAATATATTTAAAATGTCTTCCGGGGCTGGGAAGGGGTCAGGTGGGGAAAGAGCTTGCTCTGCAAGCATGAGCACCCAGGTTTGGATCCCCAGCACCCATGTAAGCTGGGCGTGGCAGCAAGTGCCTGTAACCATCACAGACTGCAGATGTACTCAGGTAAGGCACCCTCCCGGAAGCCAGGGCACCCAGGGATGCCTCCGGATAGCAGCAAGGCCCAGGACAATGGGCACAGAAAGTGAGTGTTTTAGAGGCAGCTGCTCCAGAGGCCGCACTGTGGGGTACCTGAAGCTGGTCACCGAGGAAGCGGAAACATGGAAGAAGGGGAGAGCGTTTCTAAACTGGGGCCAAGGCTGCTGCCTCCTCTTCCTCCTCTTCCCTCCTGCTTTTCCTCCTACTCTTCCTCTTTTATTAGATTACTTTTTTGGACCCCTTACGGAGGCTAGAAAACAACTTGTGGGAGTCAGTTCTCTTCTTCCACTACGTGGGCCGTGGAGAGCAAGCTCAGATCAGCAGACTTGGCAGCAATCCCCTGTAGCATGCTGAGCCATCTCACTGGTCTCGACCTTCACACTTCCCTAGAGACCTTGTCTCCCGGTTCCTTCCCTGTGACCCTGAAAACTGTGCTCTCACACAGCACAGCCATGCAACAGTTCCAGTCTCCAGAGACCTCCCTTCTTGGTTCCCCCACTGGTTGTGCTCAGAGACCCCTGCATTCTCATTCAGGAGCCATTGCAACCTCTGGCCAGGGCCCGTCAAGCTGCATGGTTACCATTTCTGCCCGTGAGCATCTGGAGGAACTTCGGACACTGCACTTCCACCGTCCGCGCCGGTGCTGAGGAGGGCCAGCAGCTCATGTTGTCCCACAGCCCTTCACAGCCTGCAGAGAAGAGCCCAGCACTGGGTTGGGATGCAGCATCGACCAAGGCTGCCCACCATCACCACCCTTTAAGCCCAGTTCCCATTATGCACTGACTCCTTGAACTCCACCTTTCCAGGGTTGGGATATGGATGAAAACCACGGTCTTGCATGCACTGGGCAAGTGCTATGCCTAAGATATTTCTTCAGCTCCTGGCTCCGATTAGTTTCCAGAATCTTTCAAAAATAGCGCCACCCACTGGAGGTCAAGTGATTAACATGTGAGCCTATGGAGAACCTCTCCTAGTCAACTCGTAACTCCAGGGCCGGATGTGTCACTCAGCTGGTAGAGCACTTACCCAGCATGCACAAGACCCTGGGTTTGGTCCTCAGTATCACAAAAAGTAGGTATGGTAGCACATGCCTATGATCCCAGTAGGGAGGAGGCAGGAGGATTAACGGTTCTAGATCATCCTCAACGACACAGCAAGATTGAGGCCATATATAACAAAACAAATACAATGCTATCCAAGTAAAATACTTCCTAAGGTCACTGTCTTCTAGATTTCTGTCATCCTTGTCCTGGGCTGTATGTAGCCTGCCCTGTCCTTTACCCCACCTTCGAAGCCTCTTCCAGGCCCACTAGGTGGTGGTGCTGCTAACAGGGCAGAAACACACAACATATGACTTACTTTCTTACCTCCCCAGACCTTTGTACCCTCTGCTGACCCTATTCATCTTGGCCAGGCCTATCCCTTGTGTACACACACACACACACACACACACACACACACACACACACCTCCTTGTGCCTCTTCATACTGGCCCCTGAGCCTGACTGGGGCTAACCAATGCCTCGAGACAGGTCAGGGCGTTGGAGACTATGAACCGGCACCAAATGGTGAGCTAGGCAGACACATCTTGCCTCTGTTTCCTGGCTGTGTCGACTCAGTTAACCATTCTCCCCTCTATTTCATGGCTTCTGCTTCACTGTACAGTAGGGATGGAATCAGATGCCTTGGGTTTCCCCACAAACACCATATCAGAGAATGTGGAAGGCCCGGATGAAGACACGGAACTGAGAAGTTGCAGAGATGTCAAGGCCGAGTTTACAGGTAGAGGAGGCTGTGCCACCATTGGTCCATCTACTAGTTCATAGCCCACATATTGTGTGCCTTTGCTATGCTAGGCCCACGGTGGGTCTGGGGACTCCAACTGTAGGCCGCCAGATAAGCTTCTGCTCTTGGGGACCCTCCGCTTGTTGCACAACAGTATTTGGAAGCTAGGTCATTGGCTGCCTTTGTTGCTGGGTGCTGGAAGCTGGGGTACTCTGAACCCGCAGTCCAGGGCATACCAGGGAAGACTGGAAGACTGAGCGGATTCTCCAAAGTCCTGATTCTCACAGAGCTGCATCTCCGGGGAGTTTATGAGATGCAGTCTTCTGGGTCTGACTTTTCAGTGGCTGAGTTAGAATCCAAAACCCACAGGTCTGTGTACTGGACATGCTTCCAGCTGCTTCTGATGTGAAGTAAGGACAGAGTCTTTATGGTGGGGCAGGTTACTATGGAAACTGTACTGGCAAGGGATAATGATGTCATGAGGACACAGCATGGTTGGACTGATGCTTGAACATTGCCTCCTTCCAACCCCTCTCTCTCTCCTCTCTGGGTTTCAAGTATCCCACGACAGTCATATATATATATATATATATATATATATATATATATATATATATATAT